CAAAACAAAACAAAACAAAACAAAACAAAACAAAACAAAACAAAACAAAACAAACAAAACCCCAAAAAACAGAAAAAGAAATATACTTTTTCAATAATGACTACAATGAACATTCTTCTGTGTTAGTACAGGGCTCCAGCATAATTAGCTGGGTAGTGTTTTGAGCCACAGTCTCACTATTCAGTTCAGTCCAGTCTCAAATTTGCAATCCTCCTGTTTCATCCTCCTAAGTGTAGGGTTCACAATGTGTCAGACTTAACAGCTGCAGATATTCAGGTATATGGCTATAACATGACTTATTTAATAGTCTCTCACTTGTGTATTTACCCGTTTCTGATTTTACCATTAGAAAACAATGGGCTGTGATGAAAACTTTATAATCTTTTTGTTTGTTTGAAACAGGATTTTACTATGTATCCCTGGCTGTCCTAGAACTTACTATATAGACCAGGCTGCCCCAGGCCTCTTAGAGTGCTGGGGTAAAGGGTATGCATTATCACATCTGGCTACATGAACAACTTGATATAAGTATTCTCACAGGACAACTTCCTAGATGAGGAATTTTAGAAGCAAAGGGGATACAGATTTAATTTTTTTAATTTATAGAGACAAAATTGTTATAGTTCTCTCCCATCCACCCTCTCTAGTTACGTTTAGGAATGGCCTTTTTCCTCAAACTCTTTCTCAAAATCATCACAAACCTGATAGGTAAGAAAGTATATCATACAGTTTATCATACTTCTAAAATACAGTTATTGGTCATTTGAACTTGTGGATTTCTTAGTTCACATCTTTTATCCTTTGTTCTTTAAGTCATAGAACACTCTAAAGGAGGGGCTGGAGAGATGGCTTAGAGGTTAAAGTCCTGAGTTCAGTTCCCTCACAACCATCTATAATGGGGTCTGATGTCCTCTTCTGGTGTGTCTGAAGACAGCTACAGTGTATTCATATACATAAAATAAATCTTAAACCACAAAGCAGATCATACACTATTCTCACTTAAAGCCTGCCCACATTTGCGTCCTTCACAACTTGGTTCTTACCTACTTCTTTTTAAAAAAACAAAAAACTTATTAATTCTTAACTACTTCTTTGAATCATTTCTACTACATGGATCAGTCAAAAGCTCTAGTCTACGTGTATTCTTTAAAAGTATCCCATAGTGGCTCACAGAGACTGAACTGCCAGTCAGGGAGCCTGCATGGGACTGACTAACCTAGGCCCTCTGTACATATGTATAGCTTGGTTTTTAAGTTGGACTCCTAACAGCAGTAACAGAGGCTGTCTCTGACTCTGTTGCCTGCCTTTGGGATACTTTCCTCCTACTGGGCTGCCTTGTCTAGCCTCAATAGGAGAGGATGTGCCTAGTCTTACTGTAACTTCATAAGCCAGGGCTGGTTGATATCCATGGGAGGCCTCCTCTTTTCTAAAGGGAAAGGGAAGAGGAGCAGATGCAGGGAAGGGAGGTGAGAGAAAAGACTGGGAGGAAAGGAGGGAGGTCAGGATGGGAAGAAAATAAATAAATTAGCTTTTCGCAGCATCACACCTGGCTAGCCTTAAACTTAGGATACTCCTATCTCATATCTTAAGTACTGAGATTATAGAAATGTGCAAGCCTACTTAACAACTTCCTTTTCCTCAAAGTATTAACTCCTAATAGAACAAAATCCTAATAGAACAAAATCCAAATGCCTTGGTATGTTACTTATAGTCTTCGACAACATAGTCTGCTCCTATTTCAAAAGTCTTATTCCCTATCCTTGAACACACTTCATGTTGTATTTCCATGTTTCTGACATTTCATCTTTAAAGATCAACCCCCTTGCTACCATTGTATATGCTTAGCAGACTCTTATCCATCTTTTAAGGCATAGTTCAAACGCTTCTACACGAAATTGACCCTGATTACTTAAAAGGCACAGTAAGACACTCCCTTTTGGGGATACCTTAGCACTTTGTAATTACTTGTGCTTCGGTACTTAGAACATCGTATCTATAATGATTCGTGTCAATCTTTCCACTAGAAGAGCTCCTCAAGGGCAGTCTATGTCTTGTTCCTCTGTGTATTCCAAGATTCTAGACAATGCCTGGCCTAAGTAGAGGTGCTCAGGAAATGTTTGACAGGTGAAAGCTATCTGATGCCAGGTCCCTTGTCACCACAGACTGGAAATGATACCACAGCCTCAGAGCATACTGCTGCCCATTACCTGATGTTGCTATCCTCCAAACCACGGGAAGCCTCCCCACCATCTCCCTCATAGGACATCATGCTTTCTTCATTTTCCATGCCCATCCTTGTATTCTCTTGAAGCATGTGAGGCTGTTTGGGTCTTAGAGTGCCAGATTCCACATCAGAGTCACTTCCACTTTCACTTAGCTGAATAGCTGTAAAAGACAGATTGTGCTTCATTAAGAGATAAGCTTGATGGACTAGGAGTATGGCGCGGTGTTAACGGTGTCTGCCTAGCATATATGAGACTGTACACTCAAAATAGCAAAACAAGAATGAGAGATAGAAAAAGTAATTTTTGTCATAATTAGCATCTTCAGCCTAGTATCCAAAACTAGTCTACAAAGACTTCATTTGTGCCTATAGTCCTCACCTCTAAGGCATCTCTTTTAACTACCAAAGGTCAACAGTGGCAAGATCTATAGTTTAGAAACTGAGTTTAAGTAACTTATTTCCTCTATCTTAGTCTAATATTATCTGTTTTCTATCATCTCTAATACTTTTACCTTACCATTTCTGTTATTTTGCTTTATTTTTCTTTCCTACTCCCAAACACAACCCTTCAAAGCTGCTACTTGGACAGTGCCTTTTCCACTATTACCTTTATGTCTACTGTGTCTGTTCATCCTCACTTCCCCTAAGGCTAATGGACATGTTCACCCTCTTAAGTGTATGTTCAGCACTCACAGGTCTACTAATAGGACTCTAATAAAAGAGATAGCTTTTTTTTAATAATAGCACATAGTAAGTAGCAATGAGGGCTCCTATTCAGCCCTGAGGTACAACAGTGAGCTAGACTCACCAGAGAAAGGGTTATCTCCTTCTTCATCACTCCCAGCATCTTCCTCATCATCTTCACCTTCAGACATAAGCAAATCCTCATACAGGACACTGGCTTGGGGCTGTTGTACAGTTCCTTCCTCTTCATCCGCAAGATCACCATCTCCCTCTCCACCTTCCTAAACAAGTTCAGGTGGCAGTCCATCACTAAGAGACCAGAATGCCTTCTTTCCCCCCACATCCCATTTGCTGCCTCATAAGAAGTTAAATAATTATAGTGGATCGACTTGCCTAGCTTATTTCAAAGATTAAAGTCAAACTGAGGCTCACAATGAGGAGACTCTGATATCAACTTGGGATTTGGCTTGCCATGCACTACTGGGACTTGTATCATATAAATGTGTAATGTAACCATAAGCTTCCTGTAAGCACACTCACTGGGGCTAGAGTCTTAGGTTTCCCATCCTCCTCATACCCTTCAATATCTACACCAGAGTATTCCTTGTCCAGTCTACCTTGGCCCTGCCATGTTTAAGTAAGGAACACAAATAGTGTATCACTGAGGGATGTGCCTGTAGGAGTTAACCAAGGGTTCTTTACCTAGGTTCTCCCTTGATATCCCAGCCAACCCCACTGCTAGTGGAGGTTGTTTACACAGCTCAAGGTACATGTATTTCCCCCAATCATTCTTTGGAAATAATAGACAGAGCAAGAAAAACCGAAGAACAGGGAAGTTTTTGGTCCACTCTTAACTGTCATTAGAAGGGAATGTTTCCTTTATAACCCAAGGTTTTGAGACAGAAAATCCTTCTGGGTTTTGTTCTCTATTGTGAAACCTTGAGAAGAGGTATAGCTTTAGATGAGAATGTTTTGATGCCTCTGGCAAAGGCCAGTTAAAATTATACATATTTTTAATTTGGTATATATTATTACACCAACTGTTGTGAACTGTGTCTCCGAATGTGTCTGTCTGTCTGTCTTCCTTCCTTCCTTCCTTTCTTTTTTTTTTTTTGGTTTTTCAAGACAGAGTTTCTCTGTATAGCCCGGGCTGTCCTGGGACTCACTCTGTAGACCAGACTGGCCTCGAACTCAGAAATCCGCCTGCCTCTGCCTCCCAAGTGCTGGGATTAAAGGCGTGTGCTACCACTGCCCGGCTATTGTAGCTGTCTTTCTAGTTAGTCACTTTCTAGGTTGTTCAGATGCCTCAAATACTTTCCCTGAAAGTCTGTTGTGTTTCAATCTGCCAATCATTCTCCAGACATCACATTTCAAAGCCTTGTTTTCAGGGCCAAAGGATCCAGTCATTCTCCATGTATACATGGGATCACTCCATCCCTGCACATTCACTTAAAAGGCAGATCACCAATCTCACAAAGAGGAATAACATTTTACCTGTGTTAGCTGCTTTTCTGAAGTAGAACTGGGAATATCCAAGACAGACAGATTGCTCTCATCTTGATATACAGAAGCATCTCGAGAAACACTGAGGGATGTGCTGTTATCATACAAATCAGGAGGCTGCAGCATAAAACATACAACTTAGGTTCTACCAAGGAAAGCAGCTAGAAGAAACAAATACAAAGAATTCTCCTTTATAACATTCACTGAAGAAAAAGGACATGCAAAAACAATCCAGTTAAAGATAAACCATAACCTGGTACAGCTTTGTACACAAATTTTTAGAATCCTTTGAATAACATTAACTCTAGCAGACTGGCATCTATTGTATATGTGCATAAAGCTTAGGGACAAGTTTATGTATTAACAGCCTCTCTGGTCAATAACCTACTTTCTTTTTCTAAGCCTTGCTGTTTTTAAGTTCAGGGATTCATATTATAGTTTTACTGACCTAGAGACATGAATGGAAACTGGATAAAGGAATTAAATTTCAAAAAGAGCATGGAATAAGGTCTGGCAGTTTCATAAGCTTGTGGATGATACGTCAAAGCAAAATGGCAAGGTTAAAATAAAAAGCATGGGCTTTGAAGAAAACAGCCCTAGGATTGAGTCTTGGCTCTACCATTGTTAACCACCTTCTTCCTCAACTGTAAAACACAGATAATAATATCTACCTCACAGGGTTGTTGTAAGAATTAAGAGCTATGTATACTCAATACCTGGTACTCAATAAACGATAGCTCCTTTCCCTCTTATCATCCCTGAAAAGGATGGATTCTAGTCAATAATAAGAGAGACTAGATAAAATATTCATGAAGTAAATATAACAAGGAAAATAATATTCATCAATTTCACCTTTAAAGTATATTTACAGACATAAATACACATATCACAGATATGAAAACTCAAAACACTCAGTAGTTGATGTTATGAAAAATGGAATTGATAACACACCTCTTGTATTTTCTGGTAATCTTTTTAAAAAGATTTTATTTATTGATTTTAAAAATTATGTGGCTGGGAGTGGTGGTGCCTGCCGTTAATCTCAGCACTTGGGTAGCAGAGTCAGGCAGATCTCTGTGAGTCCAAGGCCAGCCTGGTTTACAGCCAAGACCATACAGAGAAACCCTGTATATATATAAATAACAACAAAATATATGTATACATGAATGTCTGAGTGTGGGTTTGTGCATGTGAGTGCAATGTCTGTAGAGGCCAGAAGATGTCAGAACCTCTGGAGCTGAAGTTAAAATAGCAAGTCACAGAAAGTGAGTACTAGCAACCAAAGTCAAGTCCTCCGAAAGAGCAGCAAGCACTCTTAACTGCTGAGCCCTCTCTCTAGCCCTATCTTCTAATTCTTTCCAATCATGGTATTACTTTGATTAATACAAAACTTGCTTATGAGCAAGGAATAGTGGCAAAAGCCTATAGTCCCAGCATCAGGAACATTCAATCAGGAAGATCACAGTCTGGGCCACAAAGCCAGATCCTGTCTCAAAGAAACAAATGCAAACCCATATAAGTGTTGTAAACAAGCAACCAAACAAGACTGACTGAGAAGATTTGATTTTCTAAAATAGAGGCAAAATAGATTTCAAAACATTACCCATACAAATAAACTTTCTGCAAATTTTAAAATGTAGTATGAAAATAAAGAGGATTGTGGGAAACTATAAAATGAATAATTCCAAAGTATTGAGCTCAATGCAAGTTTCAGTAGAAGTATCCAGAGGCAAATACGCTACTTGGGTAGCAGATTTGAAAGTTAAAAATGACGTGATTAATGCTGTGCTTTAATATGATCAAAACTGTATTGTGACAGGTTAATCTAATACAGACACTTTCTAATAATGTTTTGATTTTACATAGTAATGAGTAAGGATGGTCACACATAGGGATCTAAATTCCTTGAGTTGATAGGCAATGACTTTGGCTATCTTAAAATTTATACACATAAGTGAAGGGAAAGATGAGAGCGTGCACTGAAAAGAATGGAGCAGTACTAGCCATACAATACTCTGCATAGGAAACTCACTAAGCATACCAAAGCAGCTACTGCTCAGGAAGGACAACTCTTTGATTCACCAATGGTCTAGGTTTATGCCTGTGTAAGACCCGAGAAAAGCACATACTAACTGGTGGTTAGATTGTGCTAGAGAATGATGGCTAGTATCCAAGCTTTAACTTACCAGAAAGTACCTTGTGGAAACTGTGAGCCTATTAGCAAACAAGGCCTTCCTGGGAAACATCACTCACCCAAAGCCCCCTTGACCCAATCTGCCCAAATAACTCCAAGAGCCTTTCCTTGTTCTGGACCTTGAGGAAGTATCTGAGGGTTCTTTATACCTGGCCTCTCAGTAACCTATGTTTTGGGATGAAAGAGAGAGTAAAAGATAGATAGAGAAAGTGTACGAATGAGACACAGAGACAGCAAAAATCCAACAGAGATCATGTATGGTGCATGTAAGTTTGGAATGAAACCTAGGAAGAATGAAAAATAACCCTATAGGAATTGGAAGGAATTCTGTATTAAAGCATTCAGTTAAATTTGAAAGAGTCCCTGGAAACTTTTTAAAAAAAATTCTTCATACAAAGAAGGAAACCAGTATTTATCAAATGCCTATAATGTGCCATACAAATGAACTCATTTAATGTTGGAAAGCACGTCTTAGAGAAATGGGAATAGAAATGTTAATTTCCCAATATCACAAAAGTAGACACTAGCAGAGCTAAGACTCACAACCAGGCCTGTTTTACATCAAATCTCATGTCCTTTCCACTCTACCACTGTGTCCAAAATAGACCAAAGATCTGTTAATATTCTACTTCAAGTCTATTTTTCAAATATGTTGACTTTCTAAGACTAGAGGAAATACTCAGCAGGTTCAGTCAGACCAGAAAGAACTAAAAATTTCTTATTCATCCTTCTTTCTAATCCTTTAACATATAAACTTAAGATAGTCTTCATTTAGTAGGAAAGGAATTAACCCTGGAAATTAAGTGATAAAAGCTATGCAGACATACTTCTAAAATAATGGGTAATCAGATATCTAGAAGGCACAAGAACAATATGGCCTCTATCTGTAACTGAGCAGCCTACATCTAGGATGTCCTAGAACCCAAAACTTAACAACAAAACAACTAGAGACCTAGAGGATGCCTCTGGCTACAGTAGTCAGGAATCTGGTATTCTCATACACTATAAATAATCACCCCACTCATTCATCCCATAGTTGCCTCTTCTGGATTCAACAAGGCCACAACGACCCATGGCCCTCACTCACCTTAGCCTTTGAGAAGACAAGAAAGCACACGAAAGGCATATGAAGAGGAAGGACAGAGAAGAATGGCATCTCAGTAAACAGATCTGTTAACATGCTCCCAATTTCCCAAACCATAAGAAGATTGTAAGAAATTCCTAATCCTTTGGCTTACCTGAGGTGTATAAGGTCCTGGAGTCATTGGGTCCAGACTTTCTAATTCTGCTTCCTCCAGAGCTGCTTCTTTAGCTGTACAGATATCTTTCTCAAGTTGAGTCAAATGTTCATCATACTGAGAAACAAATAAAATTAATGAATTCATTCAACATTTAGGTACTGGGCATGCAAAAATAAAACACGCACACAAAAATCCCTGTCTTCGGGGCTGGAGAGATGGCTCAGCAGTTAAGAGCACTGACTGCTCTTCCAGAGGTCCTGAGTTCAACTGCCAGCAACCACAATGTGGCTCATAGCCATCTGTAATGGGATCTGTTGCCCTCTTCTGGTGTACATGAAGATAGAGCAGACATATACATAAAGATACATAAATACATTTTAGAAAATGCAGTCTTCATAGTATTTCTATTCTAATAGCAGAACACAGTTGATAACCTAAAGAAAGCAGAGAAAAAAGTAATGGAATGAGGGCAGAAGGTGGAATATTATATTTGAAAGAAAACAGGGTAGTGAGGTAAAGTTTCAAACTCAAGGACACAACAGAAAGGTTTCAGGGAGCTAGATCTTCTCTACCACCTACCTCAGTTAATGTCTGGTGACAAACATTCACAATCTCCTGAGCAGTCTTAGTATACTGACTCTCAGACCCTATGAAAGAAGCAAAATGCATTACCTTTGTAACTTCAAGAATTTTAAATTTCTCCAACATACTGATTTAATACATTGCAATTATTAAAAGAACCATTAAAGTTTGTTTGTTTGTTTATTAAGGAGTTTCTTTGTGTAGCCCTGGCTGTCCTGGAACTGTGTAGATCAGGCTGGCCTTGAACTCATAGACATCTGCCTACCTCTGTCTTCTGAGTGCGGAGATTAAAAGTGTTAAAAAAAAAACCCACCACCTTGCTAAAGTTTATTTTTCATGTTATGTATGTGGGTGTTTTACCCTTGTGTATTTCTGCACACCTTATACATACCTGGTACCCAAAGAGGGCAGAAGAGGCTGTTGGACTGGAGTTACAAATAAATGGTTTGGGCTGCCATGTGCATGCTGGGAAGTCAACCCAGGTCCTCTGGAAGAGTAACCAGTGCTCTTAATCATTGAACAATCACACCAGCCTCATATATTGCAATTTAAAAACAAAAATTTTAGATTTTTTTACCCAATAGTATATTGTTATTTAAGATTCAGAAAACGTATGTTTAATGCTTAAACTTCTGCTTGACTTTTTTAAATGAAAAATTTCATTTAATTTTTGAATTCTTTTTTGTTTTTATTTTTTAAAGGCATGGTCTCACTATATAGTCCTGGCTGTCCTGGAACTCATTATGTAGAGCAGGATGGCCTCAAACTCAGAGATCCACCTGCCTCTGCCACTACATTTAGCTTTAAACATACAAAATCAGACTAATTAGTACCCCAATTAGCCTAATTAGCCAACCTTAACAACTATCAACACATAGCTAATCTTGTTTCATTTATATTTTAATTTTCCAGACTCTCCTCAAATTATTTTGGTTATAAGATCTTATTTTGTGCTCTGGACTGGCTTCAAACACATGATCCCTTGGCCTCTGCCTCCTGAGTGCTATGTAAATTATAGTTGCAGGTGATAAGGAGTGTCAGTGGAGGTTGATCTATTAAGGGAACTACTGTAGCACTTTGGTATAAGGGAGTAGGGAGTATACTGGACCTCTGTAACTTCAATTTTGCCATGAACCTGGAACTACCCTAAAATATAAAGATTACTTGCAAAACAAGAACTACTTTTTAAGTCAAACTGTATCATATCTAAAATAATAATCCCTTAAGCTAGGTGTGTTGGCACATGTTTTTAATTCCAGAGAAAGAGGCAGGTGAATCTCTGTAAATTCAAGGCCAGCTTGGCTTACATAGTTCCAGGCCAGCCAGGGCTACATAATGAGACTCAGTCACAGTAATGAATGAATGAATGATCACATGAATGAATGAATGAATGAATTTATTTTTTAAGATAAATGAACAGCTAGTCAATGTTCAAATTACAGGCCCACACCACCATGACTAGTTGACGTTTTCCTAGCAATTGAACCCAGAGCTTTTCCTAGCAATTGAACCCAGGCAAACACTCTACCAACCAAGATACATCTCCAGCTCCTATATGTATTTTCCTATAGTAAGTTATATCTCAATGAAAACTTTTAAAAAAACTAATGCACAACATGTACTACAAGAGTTCAGATAAAAACCCAATGGTTGATGTTTCATAAAATTTAAAGGATAGGTTAATAGCAAGGCATTGTGGCACACGCCTTTAATCCAAGAACTCAGAAGGCAGAGGCAGGAAGAGATACAGTATGTTCCAGGCAATCTAGAGCTACATGGTGAGACCATGTCTTAAAAAAAATTAAGGTATGGCAAGAGAGAGTATCTACAGGTCTATTAAAACAAGAGTTGCTACTAGCCACAAAAACACCTTGATTTGCTCTTTCCTGACACCTATTTAACCACTGCTGATTTCCATTTTTATAAGTACAAACATTCTAGAAATAGCAGCTCCACTTTTTATCTTTCATTTATTGTTTTGAGATGGGGGTCTCTGTATATAGCCCAGGTTGGCCTTGGAATTTATAGAGATCTGCCTGCCACTTCCTCTTGAGTGCTGAGATTATAGCCATGTACCACCACATTCAGTTTATGTGGTGTTGGGTATTGATCCCAGGTCTTCTTCATTTCTAGATAAGTTCTCTGAAATATATTCCCAGACCAATAAGAAATGCTTTCATAGATGTAATCTATGAAATTTACCATCTGCTTACCATGATATAACAATCAAAATTATACTACATTGGTGGGAGAAGGACTACAGATAGAGCTTAGTACGCACAGGGCCCTGGGTTTGGACTATAGCACCACAAAAAGTATACCATATATACCTGTGAAACTTTCTAGTCATATCTACTATAATTATTACAAGCTACTATATGTATAACAAAATTCTTTTCAGGGGCTGGAGAGAGGGCTCAGCAGGTAAGAGCACTTGTTCTTGTAGAGGATTCCTGGGCATTTTCCAACATTCACATGGTGGTCAACAACCATCTGTAACTCCAATTCCAGAAGATTCAACACCCTCTCTGACCTCCTTGGGCACCAGGCATGCATGTGATGTAGAGAAATATATAGCACAAAACATTCATACACATAAAGTAAGCTAAAAAAAAATGAGTCCTTTCTAAGTAAAACATTTCCTAAATATACACAATCTACTCTTTAAATATGTGAAATGGAGCCAGGTATGATAGTACCTGCATCTCAGTGCTGGGAAGGATAAAGTGGCAGATCATGAACTTCAGGCTAACCTGGACTATAGTTAAATTTGAGGCTGGCATGTAACACTTAGAGACCTTCTATCTTATATCCAAAATCCAGAGGCTGGAGATAGATCAGTAGTTAAGAATGCTTTCTGCACTGGGCAGTGGTAGCACACGCCTTTAATCCCAGCAGTTGGGAGGTAGAGGCAGGCGGATTTCTGAGTTTGAGAGTTCGAGGCCAGCCTGGTCTACAGAGTGAGTTCCAGGACAGCCAGGGCTACACAGAGAAACCCTGTCTCGAAAAACAAACAAACAAACAAACAAACAAAACCAACCCCCCCCCCCAAAAAAAAAGAATGCTTTCTGTTCTTACGAAGAATCCCAGTTCTGATCTAAGTGCTCATATCAGGTGGCTTACAGTCACCTGTTTCAGGAGATCCAATGTCCTCTTTTGGTCCCTAAGGGCACCCATATTCATTCTCTCTGTCTCTCATACACACATACCACAAACATGAATAAAATCTTTTTATTTTTTCAGATAGGGTGCCTCTAAGTAGCCTTTGCTATCTTGAAACTTGCTATATAGACCAGGGTGGCCTCCAACACACAGAGATCCTCCTGCCTCTGTCTCCCACATACTAGGATTAAAGGTATGCATCACCATATACAGCAAAAACTTTAGAAAAAAAATCAGACAGTGTTCGAGTACTTTCCTGGCATGTGCAAGGCTCTGGGTTCAATCTTTACCACACACACACACAAATATGCAAAATAAAATAAAATTCACTGAGCAGCCAGCACTTGGGAGGCAGAGGCAGGCGGATTTCTGAGTTCAAGGCCAGCCTGGTCTACAGAGTGAGGTCCAGGACAGCCAGGGCTACACAGAGAAACCCTACCTCGAAAAACCAAAACCAAAACCAAAACCAAAAACTCACTGAGCAGTGTGGCACATGCCTTTAATCCCAGCACTTGGGAAGCAGAGGCAGGCAGATCACTGAGGGTTTGAGGCCAGTCTCAGAGCGAGTTCTAGGACAAGCCAGGCTACACAGATAAACACTGTCTCGAAAAACCGAAATAGTGATAATGATGAATCCTTATGCCAGACACACATAAACCAAAAAGAAAGCTTAAGCCAATCACCAAAATATTAAGGACACACATAATTAAGAACAGTGTAATGGCACTGGTCTTTTATCTCAGTACTAGAGAGGCTGAGGCAAGAGGCCAGTACAACTTGTAACGGCAATCTATCACCTATCTTCCTCCCCAACATACACAAAGTACAGCTGTAGCTTGTTTCTGGATTTTTGATCTCTTAGTTTTGGTTTTTGTTTGTTTTTTGTTTTTTTAAGACAGGATTTCTCTGTAGCCCTGGCTCCTGGAACTTGCTCTATAGACCAGGCTGGTCCCAAACTCAGAAATCCACCTGCCTCTTCCTCCCAAGCCAGTATGCCTGGCTTGTTTTTTTTTTTTCTTAAATCTCCTAGTTCTAATCAACCAGTAGTTTGATATTCAGGATATTGACAGAAAGGAAACTACATACAAAGGTTCTCAGGCAAGCCATGCATGGTGGCTTATGCCTGTAATTCCAGTACTTTGGGAGACTGAGGCAGGATAATTACAAGTTCTTACCCAGCAAGACACTTGCCCCTGTTCCCCAAAACAGGGTTTCCCTGTATAGCCCTGGCTTTCCTGGAACTCACTCTGTAGACCGGGTTGGCCTTGTACTCAAGAGATCTACCTGTCTGTGCCTCCAGAGTGCTGGGATTAAAGACGTGCACCACCACCACCCAGTGAGACTCTGTCTTAATAAAAATTTATTGTAGCCCCAGAATGGTGGCTTAGTGCTTAAAAGCACTTGCTCTGCAATCACGAAGACTAGAGTCAGATCCCAGCACATACTTAATAAGCTGAGCATTCCCCAAAACACCTGTATCCCCAGATTTGAGCAGAACAGACACAGGATTGCTGGGGCTTGCTGGCTTCATGCCTAGCAAGAGCGGATTGCAGGTTCTGGAGGAGAACCTGACTCAAAGGAATATGCAGAAAGTGAGAGAAAAACCTTCTAGTCTGTGTCTGCACATAGGCAGATGAGCAAGCTTTCACGTGGTGGTTATGTAATGATACAGACAAATCAAAGCTGCAGACAGGCTACAGGCCTCCTTAAAATGAACTAATATAACACCAGTTTCTGTATACCAGCTCTTATGCCTACAAGGACATGGATTAGGAATTCAGTCTTTATTCGACTTCAGTTTGAACATGTAAACACAGACCAAATTCTCAACATGTCAATTATAATATGAAGGCAATTATTTTTATATGTTTGTAATGTTTCTCTCTGGAAATCATTTTGAAAA